TATTCACTTACATTATTTTGCTTGTTCAAGTTGGTATTATTGTCATGCCGGGGGATCTACTATAAAATTGCTCAATGACTTTGACTTCCAAGTTAAGTTGTTTTTCCGTTCTGCTGCACTTTTATCTGGCATCGAGACATGGGGGGAAATGCTTAACTTCAGTCATTTATGATCAGTTTAAGTTCACATATCCAGTAAAAAGTCTCCTTTATGAAAAATCTTGACCTCCTATGTTAATCTCTCATTCTGTATTACTAGTTTGAAACAGGATGTATACATACCAAGTTAGGTGTCTGGGTTTGTCAAAGAAGTCTTGGGACTTCTCGTTCCTGGTAGTAAAAGACATTTTGTGATAGATGATAGGCTTATTTATTCAACTGACCTTTTGCTATATTCAGTTTTCTATTTTCATGCATCCTTTTAATTTTGTTCAGGCACTCTTGGAGTCAATGGGTTCAAATGGCTCTACAGGACCTGATGCAGTTGCTGCTGCAGAGAGAAATGCGGCTATGTTGACAGCTAGAGCTGGTGGCAGAGACCCATCTGCAGTGCCGTCTATATGTCGCATTTCTGCTGCCCTTCAATATCCTGCGGGTGAGTTTAGATTCTCTTTGAGTATACCTGGGTGTTCTGGTGATAGCATATTCACATGAATCATTTCCTTTTGGCTTTTTGTTAGTCCTGACTTCTATGAACTGGTGAAACTTTTCATCTCGGTATTGAGTTCTGTTACTTCTTGATGAGCTTCCTCTATCAAGAGTCGTTTGAATCGATAGGGAAGAATCAGAATAGTTAATGTGGGTCCCTATGTATACTCGTGGTTTCAGATATCAAGGAACTAGATTCCTGCGATAAAAGTGAAACAGCTTATCACTCACTAGTTTATTTCTAAACGGTCAACTCAACCATAAGCATTATTAAAATGGGGTGTGTATATGTAATTCAACCATGGATCTGGCATAAAAAATGTTCTTAAGAACCAGTTGTTTGTATTGAATGTTCTAGTGTCTGTCTGGGGAGGATAGTTTGGTTTGTGCTTTTTCAAAAATTTCTCGATCAAGACCCTGTTTGGTTCACGCGAGTTATCTCATTTGTTTTCGTGTGGACAATCTTTACAATATAGTTCATGCGAGTTATCTCATTTTGTGTGGACAATCTTTACAATATATTTTTGCTGTGTTTTGTATGTTTCCTGATTTCTATGCTTCATTTTGGAATGATGAGAGTTGCAAGTTGCAACTGTGAATATTGAACTGGCCAGAACATCTATGGGTGAGTGAAGGCATTACAAAAAATTAAAACCAAAATAAAAAATAAAAGGAAAAGAAAAAACACGAAGTTCACTCGCTGCATTATTGCCTATTGAATAACCTGGCTTGGTTAGTTTGAAATAATAACCAACATATAAGGCGACAGCAGCGATCAAATTGATGCCATCACGTACATCATGCACGAGCAATATTTTGACCTGTCATTTTATCATTTTTGACTGGTTATCCAGTTTCAGAAGCGAATCCATGGACATCTGCTTTCCGATCTTTCTAAAATTGAGTCATGGCAAAATCTTGTTTATTTGATCATCACACAGATTTTACAATAAGAATACTATATCTATGAACCACCTCTTTTCAGCTAAATGCAAGTAAAAAACTGCATAAGCTTCTTATTTCCATGTCTATTTTATTTTTTTCTTAGTACTGCAGACAGCATAATCATTCTACTTGAATATTTAAATTAAATCTTTTGAATTCTATTAAACAGCATGTATTGTGTTAATTTTTTTCAAATTTCTTGTTTCCTAACCCTTTGAATGAACTTTGATGTTTGGTTTGGTTCATATTTTGTTTGCAATATCTTCTTAAATGTACCAGACTCCCATGTGTAGCCACATATTTGAACTACTCCCATGCATAACGACATATTTGAACTAACTCAATTATGCAGGTTCAGATGGTTTGGATGCTGGTCTAGCATCAGTCCTGGAGTCAATGGATTTTTGTTTAAAGCTTCGTGGTTCCGAGGCATGCATATTGGAAGACTTAACAAAGGCAATTAATATGGTTCATGTAAGAAGGGATCTTGTCGAAAGTGGTCATGCTTTGCTAAATCATGCTCATCGTGTACAGCAAGAATATGATAGGTACATTGAGCTTGTCTCCTTTTCGGTGTGGATGCGTGCATTTTTTGTGTTCACTTTGGTGATACCATTAAGTTATAAATATTTTCTTCAAGCACGAGGTATTATATTGATGCTATGACCATATACGTGAGACAAATTTTATGAATAATCTAATTACAATATGGGCCCTTGTTTTGACAATATTTGCTTTAAAACAGGCCTTCGCCTTAGTTGAGCTGTGTAGATTGTTCTCCTTTTGTCAAAGAAGAATGTGAATGGTGTGTTGTATTATGTGTGTGTTTAAGTACAAAAGTAGTGCGTAAAGTTAAAAAATGCTATGTTTTGGTTAATATTCCAGGACAAAGATGTTACCTATCCTTTTTTTCCTACATTTCCATCAACCTTTTGCAGGACAACAAATTACTGTCTGAATGTAGCTGCTGAACAAGAGAAAACTGTTACAGAAAAATGGTTACCGGAACTAAGTAATGCAGTTCTAAGTGCTCAAAAATCTCTTGATGACTGCAAGTACGTCAGAGGCTTGGTAAGTGCTTTGCAGATCATTTGAATTGTGCTCTTCGTCAATTCTAGTAACCTACAACTTGAAGGAAGATTTTAAGTCCAGATAACCCAACATCAGCATATTACCCATATAAACTTTGCTATATCCAAGAAAAGGTTGCATGGGTGCATGCAAACAAATGAACATTTCAAACAATGTCTGGAGAAACGTAGTTGTTGCGTAGACAATTAAGTGATATTTGGTCTTATTGCTATATTATTTTTTTCTCTTATGGTGTTTTTTTGTAGCTTGATGAATGGTGGGAACAACCAGCATCCACTGTGGTCGATTGGGTTGCTGTTGATGGGGAAAATGTCGCCACTTGGCAGAATCATGTGAAGCAGCTTCTGGCATTTTATGACAAGTAAATAAAACACTGAAAGAACATTGTTTGGCAGTTAAAGGTCAGTTCGTGTGAGATTTTTCAGTTGCACAAATTGTTTCGCGCTACATGATGGCACAATCATATCGATTTTATTTAATGGTAATTTGCTGCCTAGTTTTAGCTGGGAGACTCGGAAACGATATTCACCCCATTGCAAAAATTCGTGGATGAAGTTGTTAATGGATATTCTAGCATTGAAAGGATGTTTGTAACATGACTTGACGGATTTTGTTTAATGAAATTTGTTTTTGTAAGCATTGCATTTTCCTCTTTATCTGGGAATAAGAAACATGTGTATTTGCTTTCATATTGTTGCTAACTGAAAGTCTGAGTTTTGTATGTGTGATCTTGTTTTCTGTACCATAATGTGTTACCTTTGATGGGATGGCAAAATCAATTTCTACAGTGGACTAATGCAGTAGCCTCTGAACACGTGCCCAAACTAAAACCTTTGTGCTCTATGGCTGATTTGGTAAGGCTATTTTAGTTGTCTGTGTTGGCTTATGTGGTTAATGCTTAGGAGGCGATTTGATATAGTTTCTACAGTAAAAAACCAATCAAAACTCAAATTTAACTCAATCATATTATCTTCAATATTATCAATATAATTAAATAATATTACCCAATCATTCTTACACATCACATCAACTCTAATTTCACTATTCATCAATTCACATAATTTTAACTAATCATGACTTTCAATCATTTTTCTCCTACTTTACATCAAGTCAGGTTTTATTATTTTAATATATCCACTAACAACTAACTATACCATATTTTTTTTTAAATTAACTATAGTTAAAAAACAAATCAAATAAAAACTAGTTGAATCCATGGGTTCCTTTACTAAAGAACAATTGGATACTTAGGTACCTAAATATTCACTATAAACAGTTTGATCCTTATGTGCCCCCATCTTATTTTCTCTATCTTCTCTCTCTTTTTTTTTTTTTTTTTTTNTATTTCACTTGGGAGTTCCAAGGGTGTGGTACAATTATATCCTCCTGTACTGTTTTTGCGTAAAATATTAATTTCCTAATTTTTGTTCAGTAATTTGGTCTTTAGAATACAGTGTTCTTCACCACAACCATCTCACTAACTCTTTTACCAATTACTTGACAAAAAAGGAAACCAGAAACCTTAATTGTACATGAAACTTTGCAGTTCGCATGACTTTGCTGAGTTCTCAGAGCTGCAAATGCAGTTCCTTACAATTTCCTGCATTACCATCTATCCATTTTCACTTTCATCAAATGGTGGTGTAGAAGAAGAAGAATAATAATAATAACAATAATAATAATAATAATAATAATAATAATAATTATTATTATTATTATTATTGTTATTATTTGATAATTAGTAGTTAGCTTGGAAAATAAATTAGGTAGTTTGAAGGCCTTATTTAAAGGGCTCTTCTGCTTTATTATGAGGTGGTGAATTTTGAGAGTGAATCAGGTGTTGTGAGTTTTATGTGTTTTATGTGTTTTACGAGAGAGTATCTCGTTTATCCTTCTACTCTGATACCAACTTGCTCTGATATTATAGGTAATCGTAAGAATGGAAAGAATAAACGAGATACTCTCTCGTAAAACATTTGAGTAAAGGGTGTATCTCGTTTAGCATTGCATATGGGGGGAGATCACGCGCCCGCACAGCAATAGCGGCGTGGTTTGAGCCAAGTTCAAGTCCAATCCGCCCCCAAAATCCATGGGAGATAGAGTAAGGGTGTTCATGTATCCGAGCAACATTTGAGTGATTGGGATTTGGTTGATCAAGCTTGGAGTACTAGACGCTGGCTCTTGAGGATTTAAAATATACTTTTGACTCGTGAGATTTNGATACAACAGAACAAAACATCATTACAATATTCGAACAACACAAAAACAACTTTACATCAACCACAAAACAAAAACAAATTATAGTAAAAATGAGCCCTAAATTTGCAATAAGAAATTCTTAAAAAAAAAAATAAAAAGAAAATGGACGATCACTCTCCGTACTCCTAGCCTGAAGATCCTCAGAAATTCCTCATTCTCCATAGCCATGGCGCTGAGAATCTCGCGTAAACTTTCATTCAATCTCCTTAAATATCAATCACTCTCCAAAAACACATTCTTATCCCTTCTATTCAGAACTTTCTTCACTTCATCTTTGCGCTCACAGTTCCAGTTGGTCATGACGACTGGCACCTCCATAAGGAGGACCGACCTGTATGGTTTTCCACAAAAACTGAAACCCCCGCGTTTTTTCTCACGATTATCGTCATATTTTATCCAACCGACGGTCAAATTTGATCCCCAATTTCGGAAAGGCTGATAGCTAACCCTTCGATCATCGTCGACGATTTATGCATCAGGTGTTGTCGTTTTCTCGAACAGAGGGTGTGGCTTTTCGTTTTTTTAGCCTATTCATACCTCCACCATCTTTGACAATAGACGATCTTGTTCGAGCATTGAAAAAAAAAAGGAGAGAAATTATACAAAGAAGAAATTCAGAAGAAAAATAAATAAGATGAAATCCAAAAATTCGTCGTTAACCATCATGAAAAAACGCATCCACTCAAAAATAAATTTAAAAACAAAAACACGTTGAACCTATAGAGCCCAAAAAGGGCTTCTAGGGCATGCAGAATAGAATACAAATACGTAAGATACGAAAAACCCAATAAGTATTTGTATAGAGTGTACTTAATTCTGGAATGTGCACATTCACTTCACATACTGCTAGGGGTGTGCAAAATTCGACTGAAATTGACCAAACCGACCGAAACCGACCGAACCGATAATTTCGGTTCGGTTTTTGTTCGACTCGGACCTCGGTCGGTAGTCGGTTTTCAGTTTGTAAAATTTCAGTTATTTCGGTCGGTGTCAGTTTTCGGACATAATATGTCCGAAATAACCGAACCGACCGAATAACAGATATATATATATTTATAATATAATATGTCCGAAATAACCGAACCGACCGAATAACAGATATATATATTTATAATATTATATTATATATTATATTATAATATTTTTTAATACAAATACAAATATACATTAAGATTTAAGAGTAGACAGTAAGTCAATAACCCTAGCCCTACACTCAGTCCTTCGCATTTCAGAAAATCCCTTCCCCAAATCCTCCGCCGCCATCCTTAAATCCTCCGCCGCTACACCCCTAGCCGCTGCTCCTCTGCATTCTACCCAATATCGACCCAATCCAAACCATCCCGGCATCCCCTGAATCGTTCTACTCTGCTCAGCAAAAAATCATTCCCTCGTCTTTGCGTCTGCGTGTAGTTCGGTCTTCGGTCCACTCAAGGAGCTCGTGGTCACCGGTCGTCGACTCGCCAAGCACACGGTTACACAGGCACTTGTTCACCGTCAAGACTCAAGGGCGAAAGTCTCCTCGATTTTTTCTCTCCCTCCCAAAATCTCAGTTTTATTTTCAAGGTATGATATTTTTTTAACTTAATTCTTGTTTCTTGTTATGCCTGTAAGTATTTTTTTTATTTACCTGAGTCTTCATTTTGTTCCTTTTCTTTAAGTCCTTTTCAAGGTAAAGGATCAACCTTTTTACTCTCTTAATATGGCTGAACTAATGTTTAAGAACAAACTTTTAAGTGATAAAATGGGCATGCTTAACTTAGTGAAAAATGAGAAAGAAATGAGTTGAGTTTCATGAGTTTTTATGCTTTGTGTATGACTCTTTGCTGAATTGATGTGATGTCTTTAGCATGCTGTAGATGGGTTATTTTAGAGCTTTAGCCACAGTTTATTTGTCCTTGTATGTTATGATTTCGAGCATGAGAAAAAGAGATGATATAAGGCATGATATGTTGTAAATTTTTAACCCATTTTGTGTGGTTTATTTCTGAAGTTACGGTACATGTTAGCATGCTGAAATGAATCATTGATATCGGTTTAAATTGGATGAGGTGATTTATGAGAAAAGGTGACAGAACAGTTGTATGTGTATATATGTCATGTTTTGTAGCCTTGTTGCTATACCTTTTGTGTTGAGCCTTATATAATATTTTTCATGTTGAAATGAGTGACCTTAGATGCCTTTGAACTTCAGTATATTCAGCCCTATCATGTGGTTTATGGTTGAGAAAAATAAAATGAAAAAAAATGTACATGTTATGGTGGCATTGTTGTTGAGGCATAAAAGAGACAGAATATATGTTATGTTTGTATTCATGAGTCTAAGCATGCAGTAGTGCTTAATGTAGTAAATTGCTGCCATCTTAATCAATGCCATCTTAATCAATGGAGAGATCTTTTTTCATGACTTTTGTTATATTTTGGAGTTGGTTGTGCTAGTTATATTGTTTTTCTAGGATTAAGGATACCATTATTAATTATAATATGCCCATGTTGTGGAAACTGTACAGAGCATGCTTAAGCATACCATTTTTTGTGCCCATGTAGCCTGTAAGTATTTTTTTTTTTTTTTTTTTTTTTTGNTTTTTTTTTTTTTTTTTTTTTTTTTTGTGCTCCATGTACATTGTGCTGACTTGATTTTGCCTGTTCTCTGAAATTCAGAAAACTTGGACTGTAGATATCATGTCAAGCCAAGAAGAAATGGACGGAAGCACGGCACCGGTGGATAAGGCCTCAAAGGAGACACCGACTCAACCTTCAACGGGAGATTCATCAGAAGTTAAAAGAGGTGTCGCGCGACGTAAAGTACAGTCAATATCTAGGGCATGGACTCATTTTACCAAGATTCTTGACGCAAAGGGAGATGTGATAGGAGCTCAGTGCAAGCACTTCGAAAAGCAATATGCTTGCCATACAAAACGAAATGGTACCTCCTCTCTTCTTGCTCATATGAGTAGTTGCATGAAAAACTCTGAAAATGTTGATGCGAGCCAATCTTTAATAAACGTGCAACCAGGAAAAGAGGGTGTTGTTGGGTCGAGTTCGATATCTGCTTGGAAATATAATTATGGTGAGATTCGAGAATCTATTGCATATATGATATGTTCTGATGAGTTGCCCTTTAAATTTGTGGAAAGCCGAGGATTTAAAATTTTTATGAGCAAAGCATGTCCTAGGTTTAAAATTCCTTCTCGAACCACTGTTACAGAGATTGTTTTGATATGTTTGTTAAAGAAAGGTCAAAGTTGAAATCTTTCTTGAAAAGTAACTGTCAAAGGGTTAGTCTTACCACTGATACTTGGACGTCTCTGCAAAAAATTAATTATATGTGCATTACCGGCCACTTCATTGATAATGATTAGAATTTGCACAAAAAAATCTTGAATTTTGTTCCCGTTACGAGCCATAAGGGTGATTATATTGGCAAGTCACTTGAAACTTGTATTCTTGATTGGGGGCTAAAAAATGTCTTTACGATAACGATGGATAATGCAAGCTCAAATGATACGGCATTGACATTTTTGAAGAATAGAATGATGGATTGGGGGGATACCATTGCGGATTGTAAATACATTCACATGAGGTGCATTGCCCATATTATTAATTTGATTGTTACCGAGTGCCTCAAAGATGTAAAACCATCAGTGAAGCGGGTGAGGGCGGCTATTAGATACATAAAAAATTCTCCCGCTAGACTTCGAAAATTTAAAGAGTGTGTGGAATGGGAGGGTATAAAGTCCAAAAAGGCATTATGTCTTGATGTCAAAACAAGGTGGAATTCGACTTATATGATGCTAAGTACGGCGGAAAAATTTGAGAAAGCATTTGATAAGTATGAAAGAGACGAAACTTCTTTTGCGAAGGATTTGGGAGATGATTTAGTTCCTAGTGCTTATGATTGGTCTTGTGCTCGCAAAATTTCCGAATTGTTGAGTTACTTTTATGATGCTAACCTTACGGATTTCGGGTTCTTTGTATATCACTTCGAATATTTTTTTTAGTGAGATTAGCGATTTGTGTTGCATTTTGGATGATTGGAGAAAGAGTGATGACCTTTTGAAAAGGGACTTTGGTGACTTAATGAAAGCAAAATTTCTTAAATATTGGGGAGAGCCGGGATGCATGAATAAATTATCTTTTGGACAAGCATTTTTGATCCGCGAGAAAAAAATGAGTTAATGGAGTACACTTCGAATGAGATATATGGGGTTGAAAAGGGGGAGAAAATTCTTGAGGAAGTGAAGTATGATCTCTTTGAACTATTCAAAGAGTATAAGAAGAAGTATGATCCGGAAAGTGATGCAAGTGCTAGCATTGGAGTTCAAACAACTTCAACTTCAAGTTCCGAACATGGAAGTATTAGTACCAAGCCCAAATCAATTTTAAAAGCTAAGTTAAAGAAGCAAAAGTTAGCGAACGGGGGTTATTCAAACAAAAAATCCGAACTTGAAGTTTACTTGCTTGAGGATGTGCTAGAGGGAGAAGAAGATCTTGATGTTCTAAAGTGGTGGAAATCAAATTCCGAACGTTTTCGGGTTCTTTCAAGAATGGTTCGTGATATGTTGGGTGTTCTAATATCAACCGTTGCATCGGAGTCGGCCTTTAGCACTGGTGGGCGGGTGCTCGACAAATTTAGGAGTTCTTTAACTCTTAAAATTGTTGAAGCATTGATATGTACACAAGATTGACTCCGAAATGAATGTGTCCCTTTATGTGTTGAAGAGTCATTAGATGAACTTGAAATGCTTGAAAAAGGTATTGTTGATGTGCAATTACTTTGTTTTTTTTTTTTTAATAGCAATCCTATTTTTAATTTGATTAATTTTCAGATTTGCCGCAAGTGGGAATTGGACAAACATTGTGAAGTACGACTTGTGAAATTTGAGGTAATCACTATTAAATTTTATTTTTTTCAATTGTTCTAAAATTGGTTTGTATAAGATGTTTTCACTTGTTTTTTTTGTGCTTTTTTTGGGCTATATCTTGCTGTTTTTAGGTTCTTCTGAGGGTTGTTTTGAAGGTGTATTGGGGCTATTTTTGGGACACAACTTTGGCTGCTTCTACGTCCTTTTCGGGGCTGTTTTGGAGACCTTTTCAAGGCTGATTTCTGGGATTTTATTGCTGTTCTATGGCACTTTATTGTTGTTTTTGGGATTGAACTATGTGCTTTTCTAGATGGACTGTTATTTATTGTTGGGATTTTATATTGTTGCTATTTTATTGTTGTTTTTATGGGTTGTTTGAATTGATGTAACTCATATGTACTTTAGGCCTTTTCTAGACTTGTTTTGGGATGTTATTTTTATTACTTTTAGCTTGGACTTGGACTTGTTAGATTTGGAATTGAAATGTTTAATTTGGATATGTTTTTAGGTTGCATTTTTGTTGTATGGACAGTTGTGTTTGAGCCCAATGAAAAGACCAATATGTTTGGGCCCAGTAAACAAACCTAAAAAAATTATTTTTTTGTAAAATTTCAGTTAACCGACCGAACCGACCGACCAATTCGGTTCTGTTAAACTTCGGTTTTAGGCAGTTAATTCGGTCGGTTCGGTTTTAGAAATTTAAGAATTCGGTTATTTCGGTTTGTGTAGTTCGGTTCAGTCGGTCGACCGAACTGACCGATGAACACCCCTACATACAGCTAACCTAAAATTTTGAATTTGGAGTTCACTATAATATAAAAGGGGAAAAAAACTTTTTCACCCAAATACAAAGATACATTAAGTTTTTCACACCGCTCACTAATAATCTAACTTTTTCACCTCGGGAAGTGCGAAGGTTATGCGAATGAGCTGCATAACTGTCGATATCAATTGCATAACTGTCGCATATTCATCGTGCAATGCCTTCGCACTTTAACTTTTTCCACCCCAGAAAGTGCGAAGGAATATGCGAATGTCTTTGCACTTTTAACTTTCGCACAATGTCATCACGCAACTATCGCATATTCATCGCACAATGCCTTTCGCACTTTCTGGGGTGAAAAAGTTAACTTATCTACGGGCGGTGTGAAAAACTTAATACATATCCTTAGTGGGGTGAAAAAGCACATATAAAAGCCCATTAACCTGCCATGTAAATTCAATTCACATACAACTAGTACGTACCCGGTGCGATGCACGGGACATAGATATTAAATAAATTATTTTCATAGGCTCTGTCCGTATAAGTCTAAAAAGTAATAGAGTTATCATCTATTTTTCACATTTTTTAATCAACGTTAAGTCTAAAAAATAATAAGGTTTATAATCTATTTTCCACCTGTTTCGCGTTGTAACATTAAATATGAGCATGTTACGGCTAGCTTGTAAAATAATTAAGATATTATCTCACTAACACATTTATACTAATATAAATTTAATTTTAGTATATATATATATATATATATGTGTGTGTGTGTGTGTGTGTGTGTGTATATATATTTTTTTCCCAAAACGATAGAGATATTATATAAATAAAAACCGTACAAAGTGCGAAGAGAAACAGCCAAAAGCTGAATAGTACAATAGCAACGTTAGAATAACAAACTCGCAACTACACAAAATTAACTACACAAACAAAAACGAAAACTACTAAAAAGATCCCAACAGGATAATACCCGAGTGTTAGATCCCAATAGGATAATAAGTTGACACTCGGGCGCACAGAGGCCAACGGCCCAGACCAAAAACACCGACCTAAACAACACAAACACGAACACAAAACGAACAATAAGCAACAGAAACAATAACAACCACATTCAAGTCTGTCCCCAACAAACAAACGGGCCCAAACCAGCAGAGAAGCAGTAGATCAAAGGAAGATCCCTCGGCACAGGCACCACTACCGAAACTGCGAAGCCGCCTATACCAGAGCCGAACCCGAGCCTCGAACCTAACCTCGATTCAATCTACCTCCAACCGAGAGAACAACGAGACCAGCTCCCCACTCCAACACAACCCAATCTCATCTAACACCACTAGCCGAGCTCCAAAGCGTCGGACCCACCCCGTCCCCAATACCAAAGAACTGGGGGTAGGAGCAGGTCGGTCCCACAACTCCGGCTTCCCCAACGAAGGACGTCACAGCCGCCGGAGTTCCGCCCCACCCGCTGACCCACGCGCCTCCCAACACCACTGCAGACTGTCGGCGATCGGAGCCCAAAAACACCACCGAAAACCCCACCATGAACAACGAAGTCGACCGAAAAGACCTCCAAATCACCGACCAGATGAAGATCGAGGGGCTTCCCACCCCCAATCGAAGACCGTCCGGCAACCAAGGAGAAGCCACCAGTCACAGACTGAGGGTGCGCCACCACACAGCGCGCAAACACGCTGGCGACTGAGGATGGACCACCAAACGCGACACCTGCAGAGACATCGGAGACTCACGACGTTAGGGGCGGGCCGAGCGACCACTGGCCAGAGCCTCGCCGTCACCAAGGAAGGAAAATCGACGAGGAATCTGAGAGAGACCGAAGGAAATTGGGGCTAGGGTATTAGGATGGAGAGAAATTGGGGCTTGGGCGGATTATATATTTATTTATTGATATAAAAGAAAATAACCGTTTTACTTATTCTTGTTCACCATATAATATTTCATTATTATTTTATTATAAATTTTGTTATCATATAATGTCATTATTATTTATAAAAGTTATAGAAGTTGTACTTCTTCCTTTCCTTTTTATTTTATGTAATGAAAAATATTTCATGCACATTAGTATTATTTATTTATGTAATCAATTTAAAATATGTAAATAAATTTAAAATTAAATAGTGTATAAATATTTTACAAATTTTACACACTTGCTTTTTTAGAATTTAATTTGGTATACTAATTAACAACCTTGATTTAGCAAATGCCAAAAAACTCAATCCCTTATATAATCAAATTTTTTCTAATTTGCATTACAAGGATTTATAATTTATTTAACATACTCTGCAATAAAAATATATTTTACAAGAATTCCATTATAAAAAAGAATTCAAAAATAAAAAAATGATAACAAAAATAATCATGGTTGCGAATAATATACAAATAAATTCTAAAGAACAGTTAATACATTTCAATTTTAATTTTTGACCATTAGTAAAACTATTTAATGTATCTGGTCATTATCTCTTAAATGGTAAATTATATTAATTTGAAGAATAATTTATTTTTTATATATAACGAAAATAAATATTAAAAAAATTATATTGGCAAACACTAATTCACCAACTTGATTTCGCCTGAATAATTGGAAGAACTAATTCTATCTA